TAGATTAAAAATTTCACCTAATCTACATAATGCCATCAACATTAATCATGATGGCAAAAGAACATCAATGATGAAAAGGTAAATTTACCTTTTTGTTCAAACATTATATTGATTTAGTTTTCCTTTCCTTCCCTGGTTCAACTATAATTATTACTATTATTATCACATTAGTTAATTTGATATTTTAATTCCAAGTGAGTAACTAGATGAACATTTATCTCGACTACATTTAATTGATAATTAATTATTTAGTCAACTTAATCAGTTGTAGGTGGATGCAAAGAGTAATAAGTGTTTACCAAATGAAGACATTTCGACTTTTTTCGAGTTCTTTTTGTTAAAGATTTAACCTTTCGTTTCTCAAGAGATTTCATCAGTTTTTTCAACCAAATTATCATTGGAAATTGAATTGAAATTGAGAAATTTTGGGTGAAAATTTCATGGAAAACATGTTTCTCTTTTTTTACCATCAAATGGATAACAATGATTTAAGTGTTTTGACTCAACATCATTAAAGGTTTCATCAGATAATTATTTTTAAATTGATTTATTTTTCTTCTTTTGCCTCAATTCATTATTAAGACAAATTGATTGATTAATTGAAATTGTTTTTGTTGAATTTCCATAAATAGACTTACAGATAAAGTTCAAACTTTGTTTCATTTACTTTGCTGCAAAAATAATTTCTCATGATGTTGCCCTCAACTGGAATCAATCAGTGTAATCAAATTATCAAATGAAAATTTGCAAAATCAATTTTCGAATCAAAATCCGGGAAAAAATGAACTTTGATTTTTTCATTGAACTTTCAAAATGGGTACAAAAGTTTAAATTAGAAAATATCAAAACGATTGATTCCATGAAAAAGAAGAACCTGGAAAATCAGTTCGAAGTTTCTGTTTGAATTAATCTAACCTTTGATATTTTACTTTACCAACAATTTTCCTTATCGATGCCTTTACTTTCTTGTTGCATGATCATCATGAGCCTTAATAAGATTAACTATTGAACGAAATTCAAACTCGGAAAGTCATTGCAAGTAAACTCATTGATCACCTTTGACCATCAATGAGTAACTATTTGTTCAAAGAAGATCAACAATTTTTATTCATAAATTGAATTGGAGTGCATTTAATTGATTGAAACCAATTGATCTGTTGAGTGAAAAGTTTCAAGTTGAATAGCAATTGGTGTTTACCTGAAATCCATTTCATAATATTGTTCATCACCTTGAATCAATAGTTTAACCCACATTATGACAATTACCTAAAGAAGATAATAAACAAAGAAAATGTAATAAAATGGAAAACATTGGACTTGGAAAGAAGTTCGACATTTTCCAAATTTCACGTTATGAAATGTTCGCTCAGCATGCAAGGTAACCTTTGTTCATTTATCTGATGAACATTTTGCATTCCAATTCAAGTTTATCCTTGCAGAATGGATAACACAGAGTTCGCCAACAGTGAAGTCAATCTGAATTGGAACGGAAAGCTCAAAATGAATTTAAAATTTTCTTCCAATGGTTCGAGTTCAACAGCTTTTTGTGAACTTTCATACATTTTTCATGGAAAAACTGCAAAAAAAATTTCCACTCAAAGCAAAGGAAAGTTCAATTACTCTTTGAAGACATTTGAAAAAGTAATTACAATTAAAGTTTTCTTTCTGGTGAATTGATTACAGTATCATATCGAATTGAAGGTTAAAGTGATGATCATTTTGTTCAGTTGAGCAACATTTTTACTTGCAATCTTCTTTATTCATCATGATCATGTCATTTTTCATTAACAGGTAAACTCGACAAATCGAGGTAAAACTTTTGTCACTTTTCATGTTCACTTTTGGTTAAATAACAGAATCAACCCTAACATGATCAAGCTTTTAGGACCAGTTTAACAAGACTTTTCAAGCTCAGTTTTTTTCCTTCCTAACATCAGTTTAAGTAACTTATCATTAGTTGAACTACTTTTAGCTCATCAAACTCATCTTATGTGAAGTCAAAGTAGACTCAACATTTTGGACAAAAGCAACTTTTAATACGAACTTGACACATTTAGATGATTCTCATTGTATAGAGATTATCATTATACAGATTTTAGCAAAATTGTTCAATGAAAAGCGAAAGCTTTTGTTTTCGATTCTTTCGTAGCTCAACATTTTTCAAACCTTTTCAGATTCTTTTTTCATTTATTGCAATCAATTTTTCATCCAATTTTTGCTTCAAATATCAGGCTGAAATTTAATAAAAGAACTATTGATAAATGAACTTTAAAAATCAAATATCAAAGACTAAAACTTTTATTAAAGGTTAATTGAAAGGAGACTTAATTTGCTATTAAAAGCAATATAAATCAAGATTAAAACCAGTTAAACTTTTCATCTCTTGTTAGCTCAACATTTTCATCCAAACACTGAAATTCTGATTTTTAATTAAAAACAATTGATTAAAGAGGAATCTATGGAAACTTAAATAAAAGTTTCAAGAAATTGCAACATTTTCTTAAAATTTCAATGGAACAAGAAAATATTTAAAATTAGAAAATTGAAAAACGGAAATCTTCTTAATAGCGCTTTTGAATAGCGAAAAAATGAAAACACTGAAAATTTAAGTAACTCAGTACCAAAAATAGATTGAAAGCAGGTTAAGATACAAGCAAAGTGGGAATCGATTGACAAATGAGTCTTCAAATACAGCGAAAATATCAATTCTAAAGTTTACTTTTCTTTGTGGGACTTGATTTTTTGTGTTATCAAGATATTTCAGGATGTTATGATGATAACCATTTCGGTGAGTTTATCTGGATGCAAAGTCAGACTTCTGAAGCTGAAAATCCTAAAAAATATTATTAGGAGAAAAACGTTTATCTGAAAAACGATTCAGACACCAGACTCACTTGCAAGGGCAAGTTTTTATCAGCGAATAAAAAGGTCTTATAATTTCATCAGCGAAACTGGACTTTTTTCTGGACTGGAATTGGTCTTCATTGCAACTCTATTCAATTGAAAAGATCAGCTAAAACGAATTTCAGTTTTTTCACTCCATACTTTACTTTACACTCATCTTGGGAGTAAAATTTCTCAGAGATTTTATGTGCTTACTTAATAGTAAACCTGTTCAATTTTTCATGACCAAGTGATGAGCAATCAATGAGAAAAATGTTCTCAGTGTTTTCAGTTGGCAGTACAAAAATACCCAAAGATAACCTGAAGCAAAATTCATCTGAAGCATTTTCAAGGATTCCATTATTAGCAAAAGTAAAGCAAGAAACAATGTTTAACATGAAAGTTGCTTATTAACGTTAATCTCAATATTATGTTTCACCTTAATTCAGTTTCTTTTTTCTGTAACAACAAAAATCGAAATCAAAAATAGCAAAAGCTATGAAAAAAACTCATAAAATCCATTATTGATAGCATATTATTATTTATAAAATGCAAGTGTTTCTACTCAATTATCTTAACTCAATTACGCTTGTTATCATCTTAATATCAAGCAAAGATTTCAAACTGATTATCAACTTGAAAGCAAAATGTTTAAAAATATAATCAACAAAATTGATCGACTTTTCAATGTAAAACAGAAATACATTGAAATTGATTTCCATGTCCAATGTTTTCCAACTGGACAATGCATGACAAAAGTTGGCTCAGTTGAAGAAAATATTGAAACAAATGGAAATGAATGTTTTATAGATAAAAATAGAAGAAAATTTTTTTTCTATTCACATTCATTACTATTCAATGTGACATCTTGCACCACTCAATTTACACTCTTGAGGTATTTCATTAGCAATAACATTAGCGCTTATATTGTTTGACAATCTTGATAACCTGGAAAAGGCAGAAAAGTTATAAATTTTAAAGTTTCCCTGCTTGTTATTAATGCGCCATTTTCACCATTTATTTATTTATGTTTCAATTTTATTTACTTTATATCAATACAAATGAAAATGGATAAGATTCAAATGAAAATGTTCAACAGTCTAGAGAAGTAAAATTTTATTTCAACCGAAATCCCTTTAGATTCCTTTCTTTCAACTGTTTTTTGTTTTCTTTTTTTCTCCAACATTTTTCTCTTCGTTGATACAAAATGCACTTTTTGCTTAACATTTCCTTCTCATATGGAAATTCATATTTTTCAATTATTATCGTCATTCTTGTGCAAGCCCATGAACCACTCATGATAACATCAATAATGCTGGTGAATAATGAAGGATTGAGATGGAAAAATGTGATAAAAGAAATGTGATGAATAATATTGTGATCAATGTAGAGTTTAAGGTCAATTTGGAGGTTCTTTTCTCAGCATTCAACTTTTTATTTCTCCTTCTTTTTTCTACAGAATATTTTTCTTCTCTCAACAGTTTTTGAAACTCTATTTTCCCTCACCAATTCCCAAGTTGATTCTATTAGTTGCCAGTGAATTGTCCAGCGATTCATTGTGAATTGAATAATGTCAAAGTGTAACATGGAATATAACATTTGAAATGAAAGGAGAGCGAGAAAAAAAAGAAAAACTTTTTGCCTTCTTTTTTCTCTTTTTTCTCTTCTTTTTCAGTTTTCCTTTATTCAATGGCAACATTAACCATTATCCATATTAACAGGGTAATTCACTTTACATTTGTCTCTACAGTTTCCTTTATCAACTTTTCTCCGCCTCAACTTCAACCTTTCATGTTGCCTTTAAAAATTTCACCCAAATGCATAAACTTTTGTTCACCTTTCAGAGTCAAGTTTAGGTCTAAATTGTCATTTCATGTGTCATTAAGCAATGAATTTTGCTCTTAACTTTAGTTTTGCAAAGTATATTCGCTAATGAATCACTAGTCTCGAGTTTAAAACTGGAAACGCTATCAACTTGAATCTTAAGACTAATCTTGAAACTCTTTGGATTTGATTAACAATTTTCAGAATTGAATTTGTTGTGGTGTGCCACCTATTAAGGAGAAAATAAACTAATTCTTTTTATTTTTTTCATTTTCTAATTTTCTTCTCGACAGAATGCCCTTCATCTGAAGATGGTATTGATAGATTTGCCTGTCCATCAGCCGATAGAATGGGTCGATATAGGTGCATTGAAGATCATGTGCTTTGCAATGGATTCTATGATTGTCCAAATGGTGAAGATGAAGATAGAAAGTCTTGTATGTTTTACAAAACGGTAAGTTTCACCTTTGCTTCAAAGTCCAATTGTCATTCTCGACCAAACCTGGAAGTGAAATCTGGTTAACTTAAACTTAAGTGTCTTATAGTGTGATTGTCAGACAGTGATTATGTGAAACGACCAAACTCAAGCGTCAAAAATTTCGAACCAATGTTATGGATAAAGATGTCGAATGTGTTTTGTGGTTAAAAAGACTAAAGACTTTGAGAATAATTATCTTAATTAATCTTCTTTACCCTAAACTATTTAGTCCAGTCCAAGCGTCAAACTAACCTCACAAGATTAGTCCTTCAGTTACTTGAAAAGTCAAAATTGATTCCAAGCTAAATTTCAATCTTTTCAACAAATCATTTTTATTGAAAATATTGAACCATTTGACTAAAGTCTGACCAAGTAGCTCTGAATGTCAACTTTGAATTTGAAAATTATTGACCAATGAATTTACCAACATCTTGATAGCGTCCACTCCAAGTGATAACTTTAATAGAATTGGAAAGTAGAGTGAAATTAATTTATTAATCAATTTATTTGTTCAATTTTTGTTTACTTTTTCTTCTGTTCTATTTTTTCGTTCAAAGATTTATCGTTATTTTTCTTAACATTTTTTGTTTTGCTCTTATTCAATTGACACTCTCACAACTTATTGAAAAGTATACTCAGCAAGACACCAGAATGGGTGGGTGGTTGAGACAATGCACAGCAATAAGAGCAACAAGAATTAATCAGATGAAACAAGAAAAGAAAGGAAAGAAAAGAGTTGAAAGGCAAAAATTGGAACAAATGATGAATGAACATTGAGACAAACAACATTTGACATTATAATGAAAGTGAACATTGAAAGAGGAAAATATTAATCGAGTTGATAATCAAACTCATCTGTATTCAATTGATGGATCAATTTAAATCTGAATTTCCTTACCTTGGAAATTGTTCATCATAATATTGACATGAAAAAAAGAACAAATTTTTTCCTTTAAAAGTCATTCTTTTCACAAACCTGAGCCTCTGACAAAGTTAATCTTGAACAACTGCAAAAACAAGTATTAATGATGAAAAGACAAAAAAAAACATAAAACCTCAACTCATCACCATGCAACCCGGTAATCCGATAGAAATTCAAGTTTTCCAAAAACTTGTCATGAATGTTTTACAGGAATTATGTACTCATAAATATCCTTCAACATCTAATGAATGTGTGATTACAAAAGGCAAGTTTTCCTCAGTTGACTCCCTGTAGATGATGATTTCATTATCATCTAATTGAATTTCATTCAAAGCTGAAAAATATCATCAATTTGCTAGTTATAGAGTTAAAATGTTTTCCAGTTTTCTCAAATTCTCAGGTGAAATTAAAAATTTGAAAATGAAAAGACAAGTTTAAACAGTTGAGTCTGTGAGGAATCCCAGTCTAAATGATTGTACAAAAGTCAAAGATGCTAAACAAATGGAAATCGAAACAACTGAAATTTACAAAATTTTGATTTCTTTTATCAGATTAGAGCAGATAAACTGAACTGAATGTTGAAGATCTGGTCAGTGAGGTTGACTCGTGCTTTGAATCTCGAGCTTTTTGTTTCCATTTTTGGTTAACTTGGGTTATGTTTTCATTTCATTGTTGCTCATTTTTCATCAGATTGTGTTTTAAATACCAAGTCTTGGGAATGAATAACTGTTAACTGTGAACGTTGTCAAGGTGAGAAGTGAAAAGGTATTGTGAAAATGTGTTAACCTGAATGAGAGTCTATTTTTAGTAAATTCAATGTTTTTGAATTTATTTACAAAGATTGAAATTTTGAAAACTTGGCAACTGAAAATCATTCAGTTGGACTGTGGAAACTCATTGACGTAAAAAAAAGTTTCAAAGTGTAAAGAAAATTTTTTGTTTGTATCAAATTCGTTCCAATTTCACGTCATGTTATTGTAATGGTCGAAAATGACAATTGACTATTCATTTAATTTTTCTTTTCTTTTCTTTGCCAAATTCGTCACTCATCTGGATTTAACTGAATCTTTTTTTCTTTTCTTTTCCGGTTTATCCACAGACAAAGGCTCATCTTGATGTATTAGCTGATGCTATGCTTCGTATGGTCAGAGGACGATTTTAACCTTCAATGATTGCACTGCACTGTAAACTAATTTGATTGAGCGTGATGCCTAAACATTTTAAGAGAAATTAATTTGAAGAAAAAAAATAAAAACAAAAATGGTGATTAAAATAAAATAAATTGCATCAAAATCAAACAACAAATCTCATGATCGTAAAGTGATAAAATATTATAAAATAAATAAAATCTATTGAATGAATTACCGATTGTTTTGAGATATTGATTTAACTCGCGTTATCCACATTTCCAAATACTCTTAGCAATACTATTTTTACGCTTATTGCCATAAATCATTTCATCACGGTCTCCATCACGGGCACATGATTCCAATTAATGTGATCATTAAACACATTCCTTATAGGTATACACACTTATGCCACGCCATGTCTGAGTGATCAACTTATGAGATTCAGATATGAATTGTGCTTTTGAATGAAGACAGCGACATTGTTTTCTTCAGCTGAGTACCTGGAAAATAAAAGAATATCCATTAATCATGAGACAATATTTAGATATGTGTTATACAATCAAAGAAAATGATTTTGCTCAAAGAAATATCAGAAACTGTGGACAATTTATCCTGAGGATTTATTTTCAATGATGGTTATTGTACAAAATATCAAATTGATTTAAATATTTACGCTTTTATCTTATCCCCAAATGTGTCGGTTTGTCAAGATGGAAGGATATTTTTGTTTTGATCAAACTCATTTTCTTTGATTGTATAATTTGTAAAAACATCAAGGTTGGTAACTTTCACAGCTTTTCCAGTTCAGTATATTTTACATGAAAACCTGAAAATAAAGTAACATTTGAAAAGCGAAGTTCAGGAGGTAATAATCTTACCTTAGCCACAAATGATATTGCAACCAAAACAAAACAACAATTGACCACATGTGTTCAATTAGCAAAATTTAAAAATGAATGACCACTTTAACTATCGAAGTCGTAAAGCTGACATCTGCAAATTTTTAATTTAACTTAATAAACTTACACATTAAGGTAAAATGACTAATTTTTTGGAGAAAATTTAAGCCCTCTAAACAATTAAAAATTACGTTAAAACAATTCTATTGAAAATGGTTGATTCAATAGATGGCGCCAACTGTAAGTTTCAAGTTATTGTATGTAAAAATCATGTGTGTTGCTATGACAATATTTCGCTGGTTAATATTTGTTTTTGTTGGCAAAATTTCTTGATTCCCTTATAAAGGTTTGAAGTAATGGAGAAAGAACAGGTAATTTTTGGTCAAATTGTTGTCGGTCCACCAGGATCGGGTAAAACAACTTATTGTTCAACTATTCACAAATTTCTCAATAAGCTTGGTCGCAAGACTTTTATCGTTAATTTAGGTAAGTTAGTTTCTTTATATTTTCTTACTCGACTTTGCTTATACAGTTCAAGATTTCAATTTTTTTCAATTTTTTCATTACTTTCTCTCACCATAGACCCTGGAAATGATGTATCACTACCCTATAAACCGGACATAGATGTAAAAAATTTAATTTCTTTGGATGATACTATGCAGGAACATAGTTTAGGACCTAATGGTGGATTAATTTATTGTATGGAATATTTGGAAACTAATTTAGATTGGTTGATCGATCAAATCAAGAAAGTTTGCTTCTCTCCTGAAAATCAGAGGAAAAAATCTTATCCCTACTTGATATTTGATTCGCCTGGTCAAGTGGAGCTGTATGTGCATAACAAAAGTTTAAAAAACATATTGAAAAATTTAACTAGTCGTAGTGTGGCCGGATTCGACCTCAGATTAACATCAGTCAATTTGGTTGACTCTTATTATGCTAATGATCCTGGTAAATTCATTTCAGCTCTTCTCAACTCGTTAGCAACAATGCTTCACCTTGAGCTTCCACATGTTAATATCTTATCCAAAGTTGATTTGATTGAAAAATTTGGACCCATCCGTTTCAACATTGACTACTATTGTGAGGTTCTTGATCTCAACTATTTGATTGATCAAATTATAGACGACCCGTTCATGGAAAAGTTCAAAAAGCTAAGTCAAGCTATAGCTGGTGTAGTTGAAAGTTATGGTTTGGTAACTTTTGTACCGCTCGATGTTAACGATCCTAAAACCATGTTCAAGGCGATGAGATTAATTGACAAAGCTAATGGACATTTTCTCATAGACATTGAAACGGAAGAAAAGGTTCAAGAAATTTATGAAGAAACTCAAAATGCCGATTTCGATTATGCAAAATATATGGAAATTCGCGAAAGGTTGATAAAATCTGAAGATATTCCTGTTTTACCATCTTGAAATTATCTAAAGTAATTAATTATTCGCCTTTAATGATAATCAATGGATCGCTCCAAGATGTTCAACTCAATATGATATAAGCTTTTCTTAAATGATTTTCTACTTCTCACACAACTTGCTGTATACTTTCTGTACATTATAATTTTCGATTTTTATAGTTCTGAATAAAATTATTAGCTCTCAATGTTTTTTGCTTAATCATATTCTTTCCTAGAAATCGATAAAAACACTATTTATAGAAAATATATGAACAATATGTAAAAAAATAAAAGTAACTTCTAAATAAACAACACAATGCTTATTGAGTGTGTTCAGGATCAGCTGAGAAATTGCTCAATAAGCTTTCTTGCTAGTTTGAAAGCTACCTTGACATTAAATCCTTGAATTTTTGAATATCGTCAATAAATTATAAGAAATTTTCAATTCATAAACCAGTTTCTGTCTTAGATATTCATAATTTATCCTCGTCTCAGCCTCACTAATTTACCATTTTAAAATTTTCCTCATTCTTCAAGATAACCCCGAAGTGAAAAATTGTTTTCATTTTCCTTTATTGTTTTGTGTTGCAACTATCATTGAAATTATGTCTAATGATCGGAATTCTGGTCGATCCAGCAAACGAGTGGTTTTAAAACCTGGACATTCTTTGATGGATTGGATCAAATTAACGTCACAAAATAAAGATCTATCTGGTACATTTGGATCAATGCCAGAGGTGACTGTAGAAGAACTGGAGAAACATGACAATTATAAAGATTGCTGGATCTGTCTTGATCGCAAGGTTTACAATGTTACACCTTACCTAGAATTTCATCCTGGTGGTGCAGATCAATTAGTGAAAGGTGCTGGTAAAGATGCTACTGAATTGTTCAATAACGTTCACGCTTGGGTCAACTATCATGGAATGTTAGCAAAATGTTATGTTGGTAAACTTAAACCTGGAACAAATGCTAAAAGAGCTCCTGTGGATAAATCCACCAATAGCAAAAATTCCTGATCATTTTATCCTGTATTAGCTTTTCATATACTCACAGCGAAGAAATAATCAATGGCCAAACTTCTACTGCAATTAAGTTAACTCATTAAAATCAAATTACAAGCCTGTATAAAGTGCAACCCATCTAGTATGTAACATTTAGTGCTTCATTATGCTTCTTCGTTCTTCATTAATCCCATCTTTATTTTATTTTTTCAGCTTTACATGAGTGATCTGCCACCAAGGCTTGATTTTTTCATGCAACATGAACTCCTGTTTGGTCCGACCAGATAATTTTTCAATCCTAATCTAGATACTAGCAAAGGCATACTGGTAGAAATCAACGATTTAAAGGCAACAGAAAACACCAAGTCATGATCTTATACTCTATGCTTTCAACTTCATCACGAATCATGTTTGAAATCACGATTATTCTTAACTTTTCTAATCACAACCTGGGGAACAAATTACTCTCGATGCCAGAATGAATTTCATCTCTGTTATCTGCCAGATGATTCCTAAGATAAAATGAACCAATCGTAACTTGAAGTAGCGCACCGAGTGGAGTTGTGATGATAAATTATCCAATTACTGATGGCCATAAACAATCGATTAATTAAGGATCAACAAATGACCATTATGACCAATGAATACAGGGTACCAGATGATAGACAATGGTCTAAAGTTGATCTTATAACAATCAGTATATTCTCATAAGGGCATCAATCACATTATCAACATTGCCATTGTCGTTTATTTAGACCATGACTAAATATACGACAAAATGCCCGTAAAATAGCCAAATTGTTTTTCTCTGTTCCTGTTTTTTTAAAAAAATAATGTAAAATATTAATAGTTTTAGATTAATTTTATGATCATTAGATTTTTACTAATGGTTATGAAAAGAAAGTAAACTCAAGTCGTTAATTCGTATTAATATCACGGAAAGAAAAAGTAGAGCATAATGAAATGTTCAAGTGTTAAACTTTTAAATTAATTAATCGAAAAGAGTGTTTTTATTTTGACTTTCCTTACAATTATGTCACCAATTGCCCATCATATTGTTAAAAAATTATATTTAATGTTCTGTGAACAGTAAAAAAAGTGATCCAAAGTAATCATACAATTGTCTTGTTTATAAATTGATTTGATAGACAAAAAGAAGGAAGTTTTCACCAAAGCTCGGTTTTTTCACCAATTCATAGTGTTAACAATTTCCTTGTGGTTCCAAAGGAAGGAGAAGCCAAGAATGGATGATCAAGAAGGATAAAAATCTAAAGGGCAAAGCTGTTGGAAGAGGATAAATGATGAAAAGAAGGAGAAGCTGATAAAAGGAATAAACTACATCCGATTTCCATTGTGTCTCCTGTTGAATTGCTTAGCCATTTTAAAGCAAGAAATTAAAGAAGTGTTGACTCTGGTAATAATCTGGAAATTAAGGGAATCACTGATCTGTATCGTACTCGCCTCAATTCAGTCTCAATCAACGTCCTTCAGTAATCGTCATCATCAATAATCTAGGTACTGCTAAATTTAACCACTAAAGCCACCAATGATGAGCACAGAAGACAGCTTTGGTAAATTTCCTCCTCATCCATCTCCCAATATTTTTCTTCCTCTTTCATTATCATAACCACTATCATCAGTTGTTATTATAATTGTTATTTTTTTATTATTAGATTGGAGTTGGAAATAATTATTGACGAAGCCGGCAATGACAACCGAATGAATATTATATTCAATTGGAGGAGGAGTAGATGAAGAGGAGGACGGTATTGATGGTGATGATGATGGAAGCGATGAAAATGATGAACTGAAATAGAGGCTAGTTGAAATTGGTTCATCATAAAAATTTAATGTTATAAAGAAATGTTGGTTAACTTCAATTACGTGCCACTCTTGCAGCCAATCCACTCGTCAAGTTAATCTTACTGTTTTGTATCTTTGCTTCAACTAATTAATTTACTTTTGATTGCCAACACCATGGATTTTAATTGATTTAATTGGCTCATTTCGCTCTACATTCATTTGCCATTTGTTAAACTTTACAAGTCAACGGGATCAACACCAATTTTCATCTTTTTTCACTGTATTTCCACTTTTCTCAATTCATTACCGGTTGATCATTCCTTTTCTTAATTGTATCCATTTTGATTAAATGCTGAAAATATGAAACTTCCTGACATTGTGCGTTCACCTCGATTCATACTGGTCTGGTTAATTCCAATCCTTTTTTCGCCTCTTCTCTGTTGTAACCATGATCCTGTAAGTTACCTTCAATGTTTACCTTTTTCATTCCTCAATATTGACCCTTCAAGTTGCTAAATTACGCTTTGTCACTAATTTTCAATCGATGATATCAAACTTGGTTTACTTGGTTTACAATTTATTTACATATCTTTTGTGTTTCCTCAAATCACTTTACAATTTGATGGATTTGAAAAAACATACTTTTCCTGTCAAAAGTAAGGCATAAAATTTAAATTGTTATCATACAATGGTTTGGTAAACATTTAATAAGATTGAAACTCTGATTGTCCCTGAAACTGATTCAATATCGAAATACATTTTAATGCATTCCATGATTCACACTTGATTATGTATATGATGTGAATTTAGTGAATTTTTAAACTACTTTTTTGCTTTTCTATTTTAAACAATTTCTCTTTTTTAATTTTCATCTCTTCATTTCCATTGCTTTTTTTGTATCAAAATAATGTGTTAATTAATCAATATAAACAAGTAAATAATTGCTCGTAAACGTGATCAGAATTAATATGATTAAAGCATGTTTTACAATAAACAAAGAGTAAAATGTAAATACAAATTTAGACATTATTTATAGCAAATAAAAGATGATTAAAATTGAATAGTATTCAAAATAAGCATCAAACAAAGGTTGAGTTCTAGGTAATGATTGATTTTTACAATTATTTCAGCGTTTTGATTGTCTGAGCGACTTGAATAGCTAATGTAATGATTGATTGTTTACCAGTAATTCAAAACAGATTATTTTACGAATTGTTTTGACATGAAAAAAGTTGATATTGAAAGTAACAACACAATTGTAGTCTCCAATTACACATTGATAACAGGCAATACCGTAATGTTGTGGCTTAGGTTGAATTTGTGTTGTTGGTTAGATCGGCACGAATATTGAAGCTTCAAGATTAAATAAGATTTCAGAAGAATCATGAACTGATTTGCTTGGTGTTTTATTTTTGGCTTGCAGGTTAATCGAGGAGCTTTTGTTTTGCTCGTTATGGGGGCTTATTGGATAACAGAAGCCATTCCGTTGGCGATAACAGCACTGATGCCATTGGTTTTGTTTCCATTATTCGGAATACTCAGTACAGAACAAGCTTGCCAAGCTTTTATGAATGTAAGTTGTCAATACTTCACCAATCTCTGAATGTAGAGACTCGTAAAATCAAGTGAACTTAATTATCACTAAAACATATTTACACTCGTTCCCATTGTTAAACCACTGTGTAACCATTCCAGCAAACCTTAATGATATTTATTGCCTCCTTGATGGCTGCTGTTGCAGTGGAAAGTTCAAATCTTCATAATAGAATCTCAATCAAGGTATTACTCTTATTTGGAACCTCACCTAAATGGCTTCTCCTGGGCTTCATGTTGAATACAATGTTCCTTTCCATGTGGATCAGTAATACAGCAACAACAGCTTTAATGATTCCCATTGTAGATGCTGTTCTGGTTCAGCTTCGCCATCGCACTCCTGCAAATTCAGATTCTGGTAATCGTAAAGGTAAAACAAACTGTTCAACTAATATTTAAATTCAAAACTATTTTGTTACCATTTTGGTTCGTCTGTTTACTTTAACAGTTAGCATAATATCAAACTTGGACTTGCATCCCACTAATGAGTCCCGTAAAAGATCTGGCTCCTCTTTGGTGTAAGTATTGACAGTAAGTGACAGAATTACAATTTTAATTATGAAATTATAATGATTATTTATCAATAGAGCTACAGAAGATCCTGAAATCGATGCTAAATCATTTTATATTTTACGAAAATCACTTTTCCTGGGAATATGTTATGCGGCAAACATTGGTGGTATCGGTACTTTAACTGGTACTGGACCCAACTTGATACTTTATGCTCTTCTGTCGTAAGTCTCTTCGTGTTTTTCCATTAAATTGTTTCTTTTTTTAGTATTTTCTTATCAACTCTTTACAATGTTTGCTGTTATTTATTATTATTTAATCAATTCGGTTAATCAAATTGAAGTAATAAGAAGGAAATGCGAGGGATTCATAATGAGATTACATTTTCAAGTTGGATGACATTCAATGTACCGTCTATGCTTCTCTGTGGATTCATTGCTTGGCTTTTCATTGTTCTTGTTTACATACGAAAAGCTGTAAAGTAAGTATTAACCGTTTCCTAATTTTCTCTTCTTTTCGATATTGTGATTATTAGAAAATTATATTTAACTCGTTTTTGTTAACTTAATTAAATTGCGTCAAACCAGTAAAGATGAAAATAAGGAAAGGGATAAGGTGATAAGATCAATGATCCAAAAGAAGAACGAGTTAATGGGTGATGTAACGTAAGTATTTATGTGCATTTAACATTTTGCTTTTGATTTTAATCACATTTTTGTTTCATTTTCTAGGTTCCATGAATGGTCTGTTTTAATCTTATTTGTTAGCATGATACTCTTATGGTTCTTCCGTAATCCTTCATTTACCCGGGGTTGGTCTCCATTGCTTATTAACCGAAATGAGTAAGAAATACTAAATTTGATTTTTAGCTGTAAAATTTTCCCTCCAGATCATTCAACAATAACTAGATCAATCATAGACTCATAACATAGTTAAATAATCCGGATATTTTACAGTTTTTGGTGATTAACTTTCCTTTCTGTTTGATTATACGCTAGGAAATGTAAAACAGTTTTAAACTTCGTTAGAGTCATAGCAACTTAATCATTTCAAATAATGCCTTGATCTGGTTTGTTTTTATCAATATTTAACTGGCCTATTTACAAGTCAGCTCAACTTGAAATTTTATAGAGGTGAAAATGATAACCAAGTGTTAAAAAGCGGAAAAGCGGATATGATCTTGACCTATCATGGTTTTGAACTAACATTGATCTTGATAATGGCCTTTAATGCGATTATATTATGTGTAATGCTTTCTGATAAACTGATTTATGTCATCTTTTAATCTAGAGGTGATTACATTGGTGATGCTAGTCCAGCTTTTTTCATTGTCATCTTACTGTTTATGATTCCATCAAATCCAAAAAATCCAACTCAATCTCGACCTTTATTGGAATGGAACGCTATTCAAGAAAAGCTTCCTTGGAATATCGTTATACTCGTTGGAGGTGCATTTGTTCTGGCTAAAGGAACTCAGGTAATATTATTTGCAGCAATAAATCTGTACATCACAAATTAAGTGATGAACTTACAACCAACATTATTTAATGGGTTTTGTATTGCAGGCATCAGGATTATCCGATTGGTTTAGTCAACAACTTGCTCGAATGCAAGTTTTATCTCCTTCAATACTACTCTTGATCATATGTATTATTGCTCTATCCTTAACTGAGATAACTTCAAATTCAGCCACGGCAACAGTTATATTGCCTTCGATCAAAAACATGGTAATCATTTTTCCAAATTAGTTGCTTTACTTTTTTTGTATCGACTAGATCTTAATGAAATATTTATTTTAATTTTCAAATCAGGCTCTTAAACTCGGTTTTAGTCCACTTTTCTTCATGTTACCAGTTACGGTTTGCTGTAGTTTCGCATTCATGTTGCCTATTGGTTCGGCCACTAACGCAATTGTCTTTGAAGCTGGTGAACTTAAATCAATGGACATGGTAAACTTTTACCCCACATATTTTGATAATCCTTTTAAACAGATTATAGATGAATTAAAACATTCTGTTGTTTTTAATCCTACACAGATAAAACCAGGAATCTTTATGAAAGTGGCTTGTCTTGTGGTGATTCTTGTCATGATCAATACTTGGGGATTTTATGTTTTCAATTTCAACGACTTATCTTCAGTCAACAACTCAACAGGTTCTACCTTATTTAATATGGCCAATTCTTTAAAACACAATGGATCACTATTTTTGAACTAACAAATTTTACTAACAAAATTTAAGAATATATAAAATTTAAGTTCACTAAAACAATAAAAAATTTATTGAATCCTTTAAGTAACTCAAATTGAGTTTGTTGTTTTAAACTATCGATATCATTTGATACTATCGAAACTTCGAATGCTGTCAACTTTTTTAACAGAAGTTTTGATAAGTTTGAACATTTTGAAAATAAGTGTTAATCAATTATGTGAGTTTATAGATTATTTTTGCTTAAAACCTTTCTATTAAATTATTGTCTTTTATCAATAAAATACTCAACTAAATTGTTATTTATTTCAACTTTATATTATGATGTACATAGATGGCAGCATTGAATTTTACCACTTTTTACCGCTTTTTTCCGTTGTTTGTTTTGAATTTGAAGTTTCATTTGATTGTTTGTCAACTTGTTCAATTTTTGACTTTGTTTTTAATATTTTTTGATACTGTTTTATTATTTACTGGTCCATCAATATGAACAATCTTCGTTATCCAGTTTTGAGTGAAGAAGAGTTGGTTGAATTTTTCAACAGCAACTTCTTGATGAGCATCAATCTCGCCGATTTCATCAATCCAAACAAAGATATGGTGATCAACATTTTAGATAAATTTTTTGCTGACTTTGGTATTGAATACCGTCTACCAAATCTGTCAAATACCGCACACATCACAAACATGACTATGCATCAAGCATCTATACCTTTGATTAATATGAAAAATCATCTTGAAAGGATTCTTGGAAAAGCAGGTTTTGATTTCCGTCTCAGTGATTTAATTCGACCTCAAAGACGTCGCAACCAAATCTTATTTTCACAAATTATTGGCTTTTGGACACAATTTTTTGATGTAATGGAACAGTGGAAAGGATATGTTGCTGATAAAGAGGTTATGGCACTAAAGAATGCAGAACTGAGAAAAGAAAATGAAAAGAAGAAACAGTTGCTAGAAGAAAAGTTACTTTCACTTTCCGACTTGAAAGAAAAGTTACCCGATCCAGAAGGGTTGTTGGTAGCGAAGGAAAAAAAGTTGAACGAATTAAAGGATAAAGCTGATCAATACAAATCTATTCATAAAGCAAACAAGGAGAAAAAAGCTAAATTACGGTTACTGAAAATGGATCTTGTTGAAGAAGTGGCCTCTAACAAAGAAAGAATCGAATCTTTGAAAGGACAGATTGTCAAGTCTCCTGAGAAAGTCTTTGCGAAGACGAGAATTTTGGAACAATTAAGGGAAGAAGCTAGAAATGAACTACAATCATTCCAACAACAATTGCTGGAAAAACGTTCATCATTGGAAGCCCTCAAAGAAAAATCAAAGGGATGTGTGGAGCTAAATAGCGCCTTGGAAGACTTTAAAACTCAAAAGAATCATTTTATTTCGCTAGTCACCCAGTTAAATGCGGCTGAAGAGGAAACTGCTACACGCGATCTGAAAACTACTCAGTTGGATATCAAGATTGCAACGACCAGAGAACTGATTGAAAGTATTCATAAAGAGAAAGCTACTTATGCGAAAAACCATGAAAGACAGATGGCCGTTTTACGAGAAATGAATGATGAAATGCAACAAAAATTGTCCGCAATGAAGAAAGAAAAATCAGAAAAAGAAGAATCAACTGACAACAAAATTAATCATATCGAACAAGAGATTGGCGAAGAAAAGGAGAAACGTGAAAAACTGAGTGAGGAGTCTGAAAAAACCAGGCAACTTGAAGAAAAAGAGTTGGTTGATTTTTACAATCAAATTAATGTTCCACTGAAAACTATCCTCGAGAATATGAAAAATGAAAAAGTTTGTTAGTAAAAATTTCAGCAATTTTTTAAACTAAGACAATTGTTGTATTAATTATTTTCGCTAACAATGATGAGTGTTAGCATTTAATTGTTATTGGAGCAGTGAGTGGAAGATTTCAGGGACATCTTCGATCATTGAGACAAAATTTTATAGCTTTCAAAAGCATGTTTAAATATCACGCATTAAAAATGTCTTGTGATGAGTCGAATAATTATTCTCAAAATTTTTCGTATCTATAAGTTTTACTATAAATTCTGATCTGAAGACAATTCTTGTCATCAAAAAGACATGAAGATTTTTCTTCAGTCAGAGAATTAAAATTCGGTGCCAATCTACTGAAAGATTATCCATTTCAGGGTAGTTTAAGGTTATTCAATTTACCGTGAATACAACATTCAAAAGGACGAAAGAAATGCTTTTAAATGTATTTTATAGTTCATGAAGAAATAATAAGTCAACCAAATCACTGACGAACATTCATTGATAACTTTAAATGAGATATTACACTTTTGGGATGATAATTTTTAAATCAGAAAGCTAAATATACACACAGTTTAAAATGAAAATAAAATGTTGAAATTATAATAATGAGTAGAAGGAAGCTTTTTCGGGAAAACTTAAGATTTTACAATAATGATAATGAGAAACAGAAGAATGGAGAAAGCAATAATCATGACACATTTCATTTTCCGTGATCGCCTAACACTTTTCTCGGCTTTGGCCAGCTCAATAACACCTTGATGGACAGACATTTCAACATTTTCAATATTGTAATCAATCCTATCCAATAGGCTACCTTGATTAATAACCGCTGTGTTAATATCGTGGAAAATAGAGTTCAACTCTTCCATAGATTTAAGGATATTATTCATTTCTTGTTCCCTTTGATGAAGAAATTTGGTATCACTGGCCACAAATGTGTTTCTAAGTTGCTGTTGTTGTCTTCCACCGGACACAATAGCGTCATCTTCACCGGGAGACGTAAAATTGTCCAATAGATTAATATCCTGGTAGTTTGACATGGCTCCTAAAGGATCATTGGGGTCCGTTTCATCAAATTTTATCATATAATCATCATATTCACGGATCTTGTTTAAATAACCTTTCTGGACTTCTCGAAAGCGAGCTGAAAGATTGCTTATAACATGATACTCCCATTGAAGGATATTCCTTATTATCCTGTCTTTTAATCCTTCTCCTCTAGAGATATTTCTCACTTGATTGACAAGAGAATGTAATCGATTGAAAAGGCGACTGATTTCTTGGCACTTTTGATCAATCTCACTCTCACGGTTATCATTGAAGGAATCATCTCCAAATATTTCCTTGTTTTTCAATTTGAGTATATTCTTCTGGATCTCTTCGAGTTCATCAACTATGGAATCATAGTAAGGATATAAAGATAGAGAAAAGAAAGGTATTAATATACAAATTAATTAACATTGATAGATTCTCCAGCTATGTTCATCATCAAAGACCATTATTATGTAGAAATTATCATTCATCTTGTTGAATTCCGATCAAACAAAAATCAATATTTTACTTATCGGCATACAACTTTGAATCATTTTCATGCTTATCTAGATCAAAATGATGAAGTTGTGAATAATTACGAGAGAGATTAATAAGATTGGAATCATTTATTACTCACTTTTTTTGTTTATTTTGCTAGTCTCAAAGCGGAATTGATCAACATAAGCAACCCAATATGGTGAGTCCACAGTTCCTGATTCAATGTAACCGTTTTCTTCATTATTGACCAAAGTGACTCTCTCTTCTTCACTAGCTTCCTGCAATTAACAAAGAATAGTGGCTTTAATTAGAAAATAAAATGAAGAATGGAAATATTATCTAGACTTACATAGCGAGTAAAACTGCGATATTTAGATGCTTTGTTTCGCAGCGTTAGGAATGTTTCAAAATGATTTCGAGTGACCATGATTAATTAAGTCTTTAAAATAATGACGATGTGAGATCAGGAAAGCTAAGATAGCAAAGGTAAATATGGAAAACTTATCGATGATAGGCGAAACAATATGACAAGAGAGTAATTTTCTATTAGTAAATAATCACAGATTTTTCTGTGATCTAACAGCTGGCAGCTCAACTGTTATGGTCATTTTTGGATTGCTCACACCCTGATCAGGTGCTTTAAGTAAGAATTACACATATTCAAAAAATAGATTTCTGTATGGAATCTTTAAAATGTTTGAATTAAACAAGAATAATAAATACTGATTTTGAACAATCAGCCAATATGTTGATGTACTGAAGCCGGGTAAGCAAAGAAAGACAGGCTGGTGAAATGGCACCCAAATAGATAAGATAAAAGACGGTTCAAAAAATGTCAGTATAAATTGAATAAGTAGCAATAGATTAACAAAAACAATTCAAGTAATGGTCAAAAGAAACAGAACATATTTATTTTAAATTGTATGAATTTGGTCAACTGTTGCAAGTTGCAAAAAAGAGACTGTACAAAAGTAACCAATCAACAGCTGACATATGAAATCCAAAGCGCCATTTACAAAAAGTTGATTCAGCTGAAAGAGAAATTTTTTTAAGCCAAGGAATTCCGGTGACTTCACTTCATTGACTTGAATTCTGTAAATTGATGACCTTACCTTAATTAGATGGCAAATTTCCTATTCAGTAAAACTGAAGGTTAAGAAAAAGTAAGATGAGACGTCACTTTTAAACACGATAGTTTTTTGATCATTAAAAGGTTGTTACCTGATTATCAAGATTTTTAATATCGGTCTTCATTTACATTGGTATTTAAGTTAATTTTGTAAAGCATCATAAGTTAATCTACACAATCCTAAAAATCTCAAACTATTTCCAATATTTATCTTTGACAGTCCAAAACATGTCATCACGTCTTTTGTATGGATACATATAGTAGCTATTCAGCTTATCATATGTACCAGCAGCTTCAGGCCAATCTTTTGGTCGTGGTAATAAACGGCAAGTTTGAGCTTTACGAATTAGGTGCTTGACAATTCCGAATTGGCGATTACAAAGTCGAGTATCTTCCCGAGGCATCATTTTACCATTTTCGTCGACAAATTGTCCGATTATAAGAATATCCTGTAATAAAAAGAGATCATTTTTAATTGATTGTTGACTTTTTTAAATTAGTATAAATCAAGAACAAGGTAACTAACCGTATAAGAAAGATTCTTCAAATTTAATCTACACAGAGGACAGGCCGGATTCTTCTCAACTGATGGAATCAAACTTTGCTTCCTATCAGAATCGATTTCAACTCCTTTGACCACAGTAACATTATCATTTTCCTCAATGACCACTTTGGAAAGAAATAAAAAGTAATCAAATGAATGAGAATCCAATTCAGAAAAAGATAAACAAAAACATGTGCGAAAATTACTAAATAACAACTTACATTTTCGGACCATTTTTATCGATGTGGTAGATATAAATCTATTGAAGGTATGTCCATAATTACATGTTAACTTACAAATTTTATTGATCAACATTTTTTATCAAAATAATAAATATCCGAATCAACAAAAGTGTGAATAAATTGATTTAATTTGCTTGCAACAGCTGAAGCTGACTAGCTTCTAATGAAGAGAATAGATGGCACTACACGACCATAATAGCAAAAATGTATTCAACTAACATACCTTTAATAATAAAAAGCATGAGATTTTATTAAAAATAACTCGATCGATTTTAATCGTATTACTTAATCGTAATTAGCAAATTGGTTGAAAATAGTTCATTCTGCTGATTATTTCAGATTCTTTGCCAAATCAGAATCATTCCAAGCAATCATGATAACCTAACAAGTCATTGCTTCGAGATTTATTTGGATACAATTATTACATGCAAATACTGAAGATTTTGCTTTAAACTGTTTTTAAATTTGGTAACCAACAAATCAGTTTTTGTCACAATTAATCCTATCAATCAACCTTTTTAGATCAAATCTCGGTGGAACAATAGGCAAGCGTCTTCCTCGTTGACCTTTCATCATGACTTACATTTTTTCAAAGTCGAGTTGCGGTCGAAAATGCGAAGAGTTGGAGAAGAGACAAACCTGATTGATATCATGAAAAGGTAATTTGATTTTCATTTAATCCTGACATTTGAAGACATTGAGAGTTGAACTCATAGATTCTAGAAAGTCTTTGGCAGTTTACTCGAGAGTTTATTTCTTGTCAAGCACGTATATTTCAACCGCCAGATTAGACCCTTTAAAATGGCCCGAAAACATAAACTAAAACGATTAACCTACAAATAGGCAAACCATATATTCTAGAATCTGCGCTTTCAATTTTCTACGAACCTTGGCCACAAACAAACCTCAAGGTAAACTCTTTACGATTTAACCCGTTTATCGTCCAGAAACTTGGGTATAAAAGTCAATGTGAAATTGGTCTAAAGTATCATTCTTGCAACTTCATTTGCTCTGTTCACTTTCACCTTAAACATCTTCTAGTTATTACTCTAGTCTTTGTGATACCTAAAATTACCTTAAAAGTACAATATGTATGTCAAATCTATTCTCGTTCACATCTTCTTCATGGTTCATTTTGCCAATGCCAATGTGCTTAAAGGTAAGTTCTTGTTCTTATATCTTGTCTCTCCTATTTTATGTGAAAAGTAACTAATTTTATGTTTTGTTTTTCCTTTATTTTGTCTTTTCTCAATAGATTGGTACAGTGGTTTGAATAGCAAAGTAGATGAATTAAGTGAAAGTCTACACGAAAAGCCAACAGGTGAATTGGTCGTTGGACTAGCTAAACCTTCACCTAAACCTTCCCCTGAACCTGCCTACAAGCCTGCTGAACCAGTGGTTAAAAAGGAGGAAAAGAAACCAGAACTTAAAGAAATTTGTACTTTAAGATTACGAGACTCTGATATTGTAATGCTTACAGTGGTAAAGAAAGCAACGAAGAAAGCCTTTGAACCAATCTCAATCGATCCCCGTGCATTGGAATTGAAGTTCATCGTTGAAAAAAGAAAAAAGATTCCATCTCTCATTGGTGCTCTCAAGTCAATTACATTAACGAAACATTCCCATGTCAACAAAATTCCAATCAACTTGCAATTGGACCATAAAGCTTTAACTAAATTACCAAAATTAAGTGCTGAGGACTTAGTTATCTTAACAATCATCAGACAACCCAAAGGAAAACCAGCAAAGGTTGTTTCCCATTTTGTGGATAAAATAAGTGCTGCTCCAGTTTATAAATCCTATTAAATGAATAAACTATTGTAAATTGTAAATTTTGAATAGACTGTCTATTCATTATAAATTGTGACTTAAATCTAATCAATAAATAAATATCAAAGAGTATATTTAACAAAAAATTGTTTGAAATTTCTTTAAGATCAAAAATTGAAAAAATGTTTGAATTTCTTTGTTGAACGTGAATGTATTGACTTAACATTTTAACCCATTTAGCCATATCCAAAGAGTAAGATAACTCTTACTCTACTCTTTAACAATGACTTCCAATAAATAACATAGATGGCATTACCATAATATCAAAACATAATAATTGAGATTTTCATTAAAGACGGTCGATTTGTAATTAGCAAATTGAATGTGATAAACAAATGTCTTCAAATCTATCTGTTCTTTAATAAGTAATTTTAATCTGTATCTTTGAACTTATTCCTGACCTCAGACTTCTTTTAAACAGACTAATTTCGTTTTCATTTAGAGACTAACCCTTCATCCAAAGTGAAATCTATCTCTCCTTATAGTGGTGTTTGTCCAGTTTATAAAAAAGTTGAATCAACATATGGTTCATTCTGCTGATTATTTCAGATTCTTTGCTAAATCAGAATCATCCCAAGCTATTATGACAGCCTAGCAAGTCATTGCATCGAGATTTATTTGGATACAATCATTGCATGCAGATATTGTAGATTTTACTTTCAATGGTTTTTAAATTTGGCAGCCAACAAAATCAGTTTTTGTCACAATAAATCTTATCAATCAACCTTTTTGGATCAAATCTCAGTGGAACAATAGGCAAGTGTCTTCCTCGTTGACCTTTCATCATGACTTACATTTTTTTCACATAGACGAATATCACCAACAAAATTTTAATACTCTAAACGCCAAAAGAAGGAAAATAATTTGTTTCACTTTTTTTCCGTTGGAAACCCGATAGCTTAATTTAACGTTGGTTTTCTCGATTGTTGGCTTATTTCCGATTCGAACCAAGAGAAGGATGATGAGAAGAACCAGATGCAGTTAAGGTTAATTCAATGAAGTCTATCACTCACCAGGATCATCATTTTATCTACTCGAATTACCTTTTCCTCTCATCTTTTCCATTTCATTTTAAAAGTGGTCCAGTTTAAATTAATAATAACCCAAACAAACAATCGTCCATAATTGTTGGTTAAATTGTAGCCAGGGGAAAAGCCAGCCACACGCTGTAACGTGTGTGTGTCAGTATTGTCAGACAAAACAATTGGACCTCACAATGGGATTATCAATTGAATGGGAAAATCATTATGCTGGTGGTTAAAAGGATGTCTTCAGGTTAACCAAAGGTTACAGAAATCCATTAACTGGAAAGGAAAGCCGATTAATTATTCCAGTTTATGGTTTCGATTAAAACACTGACCCAAAAGATTTACCATGCATATGTAGCTGTCGATACGGTCAATACAAAAGTCTCCAAATACGCCGAATTGTTATCATAATGGATTGTGTAATAATCTGATTGTAAATCAACCTTTCTAATCAACCTTGTAAATGCGGTGGAAAAAAGTCATTTTGGTTTCAACAAAAGCGACAGCAACAACAAGCCAAAAGGACATGCAAAGGAGATCAAGACATTTTAATTTGCCGTTGACTTTCGATGAAGTTAAATTACTGTTGTACCTTTGACATGGAAGCACAATGCTAACATCATAATCATTGTAATCAACAAGAAGGCAAAACCACTTCCAACCATTATTAACCAATATCATTGTTGTACCTCAAGCCCATATTGTTAGCCCTTCAAGTTTATACACAAGCTTTTGTTACAAGCTCACTTCGCCATTGTATTCAATAATGGATCAACACACAGATACAGACACAAAAATGGTTTCTTCCAGAGCACAAAAAGGTACAAGCATACACGTTTATTGTCCTAAAAAGGACAAAATGTAAGATTCGAGTTTGAAGGCAAAAGAAAGAGGCGAAAAAAACAACAATAATTTACCATTGAAATTTCATTGCATTAACAAGAGGTAAGTAACAATTGAGCCTTCCAGTTTGATCAGGTAATAAACAGTCACAGTAACATATCAGTTTCACTTATCTATTGAAAAAAGCCTTTTTTTTAAAATTGACCCTTTTTGATGTTGAATGTATTGCCATTTAAATCATAACATACATGGTAACATAGTCAATGTCCATTGTTGTTAACAATCAAATTTAATACAATTGTTATTAACTTAACCACAGGAAAAAAGGTTACCCTGAGACAAGGTTGTCACAACCCAAACACCTTACCAAGAAGGTCAACATTTTTACAGTCAAATGGCAAAGGAGGAAAGCAAAGTTACAACCTGAAAGGTGAAAAGCATTTTGAAAACCTTCAATGGAACATTTATCCGTCTTTTTTGCCTTCAAATCATGTTATTCAGGACTCTCCAACAATGTGAGTTGAACAAAAAAAATATTGACTCCAAGTTAATAATAGTCAATTGTTTTTCACGACAGAAGCCAAGAAGAAAAGGAGAAAATTTTCTCAGCTCAGATTTTTATCCCTTTTTTGGACCAAATCGGAAAAGAGTTTGGAAGCGATATTTTGTTCATTGTCTTGTTTCATGGTTAAACAATGAAACTACTCAAAAGCCGAGTTAAGCGTGACTTTGAATAAAGTGGGTGTAAACTGGAAGGCTGAGATGCTTTGGACAAAAAACCTTGACTTTCCAGGTTCTACCGTTTACATCGTTGTTGAACACATCGAGAAGCCCATTCAATGGTCCAAATGTTTCGCCTTCATTTTTTGCTGTTTCAATGCTTTGTTTTTTGCATGGCATTTCATTTGCATCAATGACAAGTCAATTGATAAAAATGTTGCCCTTTTTTTCAACATCATTACTGGGTATCAGTTTGGACTCGTTTTTTACTCCCTTTTATTGCAATTGATGATGATTTTGAGGAAACTTTCAAATTGATAATTGATTAAATTGATTGTTTGCTCACAAGAGAGGCGTAATTTGATTTGAAGGAGGAAACTTTACAGATGATGAAGAAGGCAAAATAGGAGGATAAGGTTGGAAACAACAAGAGGATAAAATGGATGATAGGGAGGAGAAAGAGAGGTTGAAAGGTGACTTGTAATCTTTATTGTAACCTATTGTCCTATTATTATGTATGTATTATCTTCATCATTATTATTATGGAGCAAAATGAGCAATCATTTGAATATAATCTTGATACTACTTTTTGTGTTATTGACTTTACTTGACTTTCCTTTGACTTTCCTATTGGCCTTTTTTTATACTCTAATCCCACGCCTATTGGCAATAAAATTTAAATTAATACATATTCAAATGCATTCAATGGACTTGCTCGACAAAATTGGTTGACATACTTTAAAAGGTGAAAAGCAAATCGGAAAGTCCAATGCTGCCAATCAATGTTATCATCAAATCACTAAAATTTTCATCATTCTGAGCTGGTAGAGTCAAAAGCTGATCAACACTGGTGGCTCCTTAAAACACAATGAAAATTATTGTAAATCAAAAGTCAGTTCAATGGTTAAAGTAATGTTTTTATAATCAAATCCACTTTGAAATTTCAGCCGATCATTCAAGCTAATCAAGTTGTTTTGTTTTCAATAATAGAATCGATTGCTTCCTTTTTGCCTTGAAAGTGAACATTATTTTAAATCTTGTTGTTTTGTCGCAGCAAAATTAAATAACCTGATTAGAGGACTTGTCATGAAGGGCCACAGTGACTCTACATTCACATTGACTTCAATACCCCAAGTCTTTCGTTTGAAAATAAATGTTGAAATTAAACTTTGATCAGACGTTTGAATGAAGCAGTAAACTAGAATTTTGTTTTTTACCCTTAAACCTGAAATTCAGAGAATTGTATAGAAATTCTGGTGAATAATGAAAGATTACGTCTGGTAATGTTGACGTTGGTGTAAAGGAAAATAATTATTGATGAGAAAAGCAGAGGTTTGCTTTGCAAAGCAAAGGAAAGCTTTGAAGATGAAATGGTTTGCATTGAGAAGTTGGTTACCCGAATGGGAATATCAAGTTACTCGAGTAAAAACCATTCCCAATGTAAATTGAGAGCAACAAAACAAAATTTTCATTCTTTACTTTTCTCAACCAGCTTTTTCATCTTCCATTTAATCTTTCTCTTCATCATCTTCCTTCATCTTTCTCTCTCTCTCTTCTTCATTCTCCTCATCATCATCTTGTACACCTTTTCAGACCATCTCACCGTATTTACCTTACCTTGAGATTTCATCTTAAAAATTGACCCTTTCACCTTGAAGCTATTCTCATCATCATCTTTATCCTTCAACCCATCTCATCCTCTCATCTTCATCTTGAAACATTTCGTTTAAACAAATTTTCATTCCATTTCCATCATCATCATTATCATCATAAGTCAACAAAAATGACAATAATAATGATCATGTCACATTTGTCTCGTCTTTACTTGCAACTTGATAAGTTAACAAGAACCAAAACCATGATAAACAAGCTGACAGATTGTTCAAGTTAATTAACATTGCACAAACTATCCTGATAAATTCAACTTTTACATCAATTTGGCTTATTTTAAATTCACTCAATCCAATGCAAAAAAATAACTCAACACTTGAACTCTTCAAAGTTTTTCATCCTTAGAGATTTATCTAAGCGTCAATTTTTCCTGACCCCAACCCATTGGCACTTTAAATGTGAGGCAATTAAATGTACAGAAGTCTCTGATTCTGTTCAATCAATTTAAAAATTTCATTTCCATCTGCTTTGATCTTCAATTTTCATTGATCATTTGACTTAAAATACGTTTTTATTGAAATGTTTGGTCAACCTCAAAGTTGATTTTGAAAGTTGATTGAAAAGTGTTTTACTTTGACTTTCATCTTAAACCTTTCATTTTCATTGAGATGAAATTTGAATTGTCCGTTGACAAGGGCTTTTAAAGAGTTGATATTTACAACGGGATAACAAGAAGCGGCAATTGCGCTTCTTTTTTTTCTCGCTAAATAGTCAAGTGTTTACAGTAGCTGTGAATTTATACAATATACATTTTGCCTTCTCATTAACAATGTTTAAGGGTAAAAGCAATGTTTGAGTACAAAAACAAATACAGCTTCAAAATGGACTGCCATAGTGAGTAAATGTTATGTACACAGTGCATGTGTGTCTTCATATTTACCAAGGCATCAGTAGAGGTCAGAGCAACACTTAGTGCCCATTTAATTTGGGTGTTTTTTCAAATACTTTTTTTTCTTCAATGAACCTAAAGTTTGGTTCAACTTTTCTTGGCTGCTTCTTTTTTGGTAAGTTAAACTGGATCACCGCTAATTGGGCTCATCTTTGCATTTCTTGCTTCTCTTAATGTTAACTTTCCAAACGTTAAGACTGACTCTTGAAAAGGGTTTTCTTCCTTGCTTTACTTTACCATTTCAATGGTAATGATGATGATGATGATGATGGTTATGATGATGAGAAAAGGAAAAATAAAAGTAAACAATAATCTCAAATTTCTTCATTTACATCATGTTCATCTTCATTTTTCTTAAAAGTGTTATAACCTCTTTACCATCTCTATCATTCCCTTTTTTCCTGGTTCTGGTAAACTGTTAATGGCTCAGTTTACGCGCATATTTAAACTTTACATTTATATTCATTGTTCAGTTCAATTGGTATTTAGTTTAACTGAAAGACCACTTTGACATTGAAAATGGTTCAACTTTGGGCAAAGCTAAAGAGCGCAGATTTGTTGTTACATTTGTCCAATCACTGTGTCTGGATTTGATGAAATTTGGACAAATCAAGACTGACTTGAGTGGACAAATTAACAAGTTGGTGTTTAAAAAAGTTGAAGCTCATTAGTCTTGATTTGGTCAATTGTAAAGTCCATCATTTGTCAGCCAACTTAACGGCAAGTTTTTGTAAAGACTAACAAGCTCGGTTAATTGGTTTTGACTTTAACTTTAAGCTGACAATTTTTTATGTTCATTGAAAGTTGAATGGATTTGGAAGATTTCGAGTTTAATGGAGATTCAGACTGAACAGGATTCATTTTCACCAAGTTATTTAAACCGCCGCATTAGCCTAAAGGCCTTCGACTCTACAAAAGGCTCAGACCAGAGAAAATTTTGGCTCAGCTGAAAAACTTTAAAACTTGTAATTCTACTTTTGTTTCATCTAAACTTTACTTTTCACAAGAAAACAATGAGTTAATCAATAAACCTTTGTCTTATCTTCGGTCAATTGTCCATCAGAGAGATTCAAAAATCACTTTTCCTCACCTTTTCTTCCCTTCTCTTAAAGGGTGTTGAGGTTAGTAAGGGTCCT